ATTTTAAGATGTTTTGTCTGTTTTGACCCTTTAAAATGCATGTATTGAATTTTGATTTTAAGTCCATTCAAAGAGCAGCATGTTGAGAAATGATAAAACACAAAAAAGCAAATTATAAAACATGTCAAATTGAAGTAAAGTGGATCTGAGCTGGTAACACTGAAACCTTTTTTATGCTATTTCATGCTGGCTTAAAGACCAGAAGAACTAAGGTTAGATGTGTTGCGATCAGATTTGTTTTGACTCCCTGTTGTCAAGCTCACAGAGAGCTGTTCAACATACATATCCATGCTCCACAAGGTAAGAATACTCTTTAAAACGATTTTATACAATTACGCTGGAAAGCCAGAGGATATACTTTGGCTGAATAATTCACTTTTCCACCCTAGTGAGATCAAAATTCCGGTCCAAGCAAGCACAGTAGGTTGAAAACCCCCACTGTTCATTGCTGTCCAGAAATCTTCTTCCTCTCCCATTTCAACACTGAGCAGAGGAACCATGATAGAGACCTGCTGGAGTCCTCTGGGCGGGTGACTCACTTCTAGTCAAAGTGATGAAAAATTTATCTTGCCAGGTTCTGCTTATCTTGAGCTCCCTGCAAAGCCTCATTACATCTTTTGGAAAAACTCTACTTTGATTTTTGTTTTCAGTTCAGAAGATACTGACGGAGCTTCAACTGCTGGCATTTACTTTTTTTAAAAATAGCATTCATTACTGTAACACATTTTTGTAGGGTAAGCAGTTCAAAATCCATGAACAATTCGTTTAAATTGCTGAAGCCACAGTTTATATGACAAGGAGGTTAGTGGGGTTAAAAGCCAACGAATCCTGGCTAATATATGTATGTGTTTAATAAATGACAAGTACCAGCAGGAGGGTTGAGAGGAGAGGGAGCGTGAGTTGAAACTAGAATTAAGTGAGGTTTTCGTTCACATAGGATTAGATGCCTCTCACTGCCGAAGATGGATTCAGTCCAGCACTCTCTCCCTGTTGCTTTTCTTTCACCTCTTATTTCTCTCCTTTGTGATCCTGCAGTCTTTGATCTTTCTCCTTCCTTTGTGTTCTATTCCTCTAGTCTGCAGACATTCTTTCACTCCTTATGGTTGAAAATCGCTCCCATTTTCATTCATCAATTCATTTATTGGCAATAGTAATAACAGAATCTGCTTTTCATTCATTCATTTTGCTCGTCACACTCATACACCAATCAACCACAACATCTTTCTAATCTTGTGGAGGTCTCCCTCAAGCTTCCTAAACAGCTCTGACCCAAAGGGGTAAAAACACTGGAGCTTAAAGTGTGTCCTGTGATGTCAGGCACTTGGATTTATACAGCACATTCTTGGAGTCTTGTGAGTAGCGGGGTGGGACTTGAGCATGTGAATGTCAGATTGGAAAGGATTTTAAAGCATAGATCATTGCCTCTTTTGTTGTGTTTCTTGGCCAAATCCTGAGCATTTCCTTTGGGGAGTAGGGATTTGTTTAGAACAATGTTTAGGTGGATGGTGCATGTCAAAAGATCCACCTGAATGCCCGGACCTATCAGAATATTGCATTGTAATGAGATGATCAGTATTATTCATTGGATTTGTCAGTATTCAGTGTTAAAGATAATCATTGTACACTAAACAGCTGGGATGATTATTTGAAATCTGCTCTACAGTTGCAGAAAACATTTTCCTGGTTTTATAGTTTCAATAGTTATATAGTTATTTGTCAAATGCAGCGTGATGATAATTTTGTGAACTATATTCTAATTTTTTTGTCGCTTTTTAATAGGAAACTAAAACATTTATGGATGTAGTAGCAGTCCTAATTTAATCAGAAGAACGTCTCCAGCTATTAAGTTGAATAACTGTTTAACTGTTTACAAATTCTGAGATATAAAATGTAAGTCAAAATTAAATATTGCTATTATAATTTGCCCTTTTTTTCCCTTAATTTCAACTTTTTGACTAAAGTCAACAAAAGTGAAGTTTCGCTTCTTGTGCTGTTACACGTTAGCATACTGTACAGGCCTCACAAAACTTGTTTTGGAGATATTTTATTACCTGAAATGATAACATCACAGGTTTCATCCTCTCTGAATAAAAGGGAACACGCCTTATAAAAAGGTCAGTAGCTTCTTTCAAATGTGCATAACCACAAGGAAAGATAATAGCTGGGCTTGGCTCACTGTACTTGTTTTCCTCCAGAAGGCTGGATTATTTTACACCTCGGCTCAAAATGCACAATAATGACTGGCAGGGGTGTAGGAACTACCCTGAAAGCTGGAAACACTGACACGATCGACCTGTAATAGAGAATTATGTTTCCCAAATGTGGTGGAAAAAAATTCAGACAAAGTATATCACAAAGCTCAGCTTTTCAATTACAGTAGTTACAGTAATTGCTGCTGCAAGGCATCAAATACAAAAGCCAGCAGACGCCTGTAGGTATACCAGACAGATGAATGTGAAAAAAGAAGCCCATGGAAGCCTCTTAGTCAAATTCATGTTCATCATAATTAACTGTAAATTGAACAATTGGACATAACCTGTTTCTGAACAGCCATAATATATGGTTTAAAGATTATTATAAAGCAGCTCCCCATTAATACCAATCTGGCTGTGAACAAGACGCAAGCATACGATGTCTAACAATCTGTTGTTAGAATGAAAAATAATTATTCTCAACAATTCCATAAGATATTTTTTGTATTCACTGCATTGCAGAAGAAAACTCAAGCTGTGGCTTTGACATCATTATTTTTGGAAACCCTTTGCCTCCAAGAAGCCTTGCTGTCTCTGTCATCATTGCATGATGAGTCACAGCCAGCTCCAGGTGTAGATAAAAAAGATAACACCAAGATGCTCTGTTTGACAGGAGATATAATTGTTTAGGATGTACCCATGAAATTCCTTTTCTAACATTGAATACAACTGTACTGTATTTAATTGGCTTCATCCATAGTGGAAAGGGTCCACTTGAGGACAGTTTTATCTCTTGGTAAGGTCACTACAGGTCTACCATTGTTTAACTTTTACCACTTTAAGTTTCTTAAGAACAAAACAAAAAGACATGAATCTTTAGATACGTGTCACAAAGCTGCTATTCTTCAGTGGAAAGCAAAGACAAATCTTGCGTGGAAAGGGCCTGGAGCCAAAATGCAAAGCAAATTGTTTTGTTTTCCCCCTGCATATTATTTTTACTACTCTTACTCTTCCTAAAGGTGTGCAATGTTACTGATTATTCAACATTTACACAGTGAGCTATGTGCTCTGTCTACCTTGAAACTACTGCTGATGCATCACTGTTGCTGGGAAAACACCTAATTATCTTAGCTACTCAGCTGTATCAGGAAATACCCCATCTCCATTCTTGTAACAAACGGTGCCTTTTCATTTCCTTTCCTGGCTACTTTTGGAAGATAACAAATATCCTTCCTCAGAGTTTTAAGAATCTGTAGGTGGACAACATTTTCTTTTCTAAATCTCTTTAAAGATTTCATATTTAAATTCTGTCTGACTGTAAGTTATAGGCTCTACTAAATGCCTAGCAGAACAGTTACCAATTAAATGAACAGTACCATACATACAGACAGAAACACAAATGTCTACATACTTACACTGCTATCACAACTTTAAAGAAGTATAACAGAGCAAAGTGAGGTCAGAAATTCTGGTCCTGAATGTATTTCCATATGTGAAAGTCATGTTTGAGATTATTAGTTGTATCTGTTATAAATTTGCACATTTCTTGTTACAATCTCTGTTTTTATTAGTTGAAGTGTAAAAAATAAATACATTTTACGTTTTATGTATATATGTATACAAAATACACACGATACCAAGTAATCACGTAGTTATGAAAACTAACCAAAATCTAAATGGCTCATATTGCTCTATATACATATGGATGGCTTTAATTAAGGCTTTTAAAATGTTACCAAAAGTCATCAGAATTACACTGTAAATAAAAGAGGTAGATTAAACGAAAGGTTCGGCAAGTTTTTCATGGGTCTACATACTCACAGATATAGTTCCCGTATAAATGTGGCACTATTTATAAGGAAATAAGATAAGATTTCTTGCCAAGAAGCATTTCTTTTCATAGAACTATAGTTATGTAGGTTCTGCAATGGTTTGATGACAAATGTGGGAAAGTGGGAAAAGAAAACAAT